TAATGTCAACAGAAAAGAAGAAGCTGTGGAGCTCAAGCCAACATGGAATCCCATTCTGAGAAGTTCAAGACAGCAAACAGCATGACGGCTGCAAATAAAACTCGACAGAAGAAAAGTAGATCTGCAAGCTTATGCAGATGACCTTGTCATCTTGGTAAGGTCCACAGGTAGCTTGCAATGTCTTCCAAAGCACGATGGACGATATTCACAGTTGGTGCCTGAGGGAGCAGATGTCTGTCGACCCCAGCAAAACTGTGAGGAACCAGGAGGAGATAATTGGACGATCTAACGCCACTTTCCCTCAATGATGAGGTCATTTCATTTGGAACGGAGGTGAAATATCTTGGCATTGTCCTTGATAAAAACTCACCTGGAACGCCCACTTGAAAAAAGTTTAACACAAAGCCAGACTGTCTCTATGGACATGTCGAAAGATTTGTGGTGAAACTTGAGGTTTAGGTCCCAAACAAATCCATTGGATTTATGTGATGATTGTCAGACCTATGATCACTTATGGAGCAATGGCCTGGTGGCCGAAGGCTTTACAGAAAACGGCCCAGGCGAAGCTCTCTGGCTTACAGAGACAGGCTTGTCTGGCCATCAGTGGTGTCATCAGTAATACACCGTCAGCGGCCATGGGGATCCTTCTAGATCTACCTCCTTTCCCCATTTTTCTGAAAAGATAAGCTAGATGGACTGCATACAGACTTGTGCACATTGCCAATTGCACAAATCAATTCAATGCAGACTGTTGGTTGAGACTGGAAGTCACAGCATTCTGGAAATGACCTCTGAATTCATGCCTCCAACTGTCAACTACGAACTGCCTTATAAAGTACTGTTCCCGAGTAGAAAGACTGGTTTCTCCAGAAGGAGGAAATATTGAGAGCAGATAGTTGTTGGTTCACAGTTTTTAGTCGCAGATCTAAGACGGAGATATCTAACAGCCTAGCAACCTATGTGTCTGTATTTTAAGCAGAACTTTTCGCTATTGAATTGTGTGCAGAGAGATTAGAAGAATTCAACCTCATACACTAGTCAATCATAATATTCTCGGACAGGCAAGCGGCGTTAGAAACTCTTGGCTCCTACCAAGCAACGTCTACATTAGTAGCAAATTGCCAAAAACGACTCTCTTCAATAACAAGACTTAACAGATTCTCTCTGGTCTGGATTCGTGACCATATCGGCCTGGAAGGCAATAAGGTTGCTGACTCCCTTACAAAGGAAGGTGCTGCAAGTAGCTTCAATGGACCAGAACCTGTCATTGGCATCGCTTTAGGCTTTGCCAAATAAACATTGAACACCTGGATGGCAAGAAGATTCATAGACTTCTGGCAGAATCTTCCAGGTTTGGCTCACTCCAAAGCGTTTATTCACCCTTCGAAGCTTGATACCAAACAGTTGTTGGACTACAGTAGGGATGAAATACAATGTCTAACAGGTCTTTCTACAGGTCACTGTCATTTGAATCATCATATGAAGAGACTCGGACTGTCGGAAGAGAGTATGTGTCGCCTATGTTTGGAAAATGATGAAACAGCAGAGAGCATAGTTTGTGCCTGCTCCGCTGGGAACCGAATCAGGTTTTCAGAATTTGATAGAGCCGTACTCCTACCATCTAACCTGAGTTAATTTGGTGGAGTGTGAAAAGGTGTGAGCCATGATAAAACCTTGCGGGTTGCGGTGGAAGGTCGAATAGACCCACCACTAACTTCAGACCTAACCTAACTCAACACCACACTACCTGAGTCAACATAAATAGGCCTCACGCAGCCGTAATATACAGTCATCGGAGATATCAACTCAGGGTCTATAAACCTCTGAAGAAGCTAGCCACTCGCGTCATCGAAATGTCAGGGAAACATTCCAAAATCCAACGGCTCTCAAACTCGAGACATTCCAANAACTCGAGAAATTCCAATTGAACTTATTGTCCAAAAATGACCAATAAATTCATCATTTCAGTTTGCGAAATCCCCCAAACAGAGAACCTCGAGTGTTTGGTCCAGCAAGTCATCTCTCAGTACAGGTTTTCGGTACCACGGTGGACACATTGTCAACACGGTAACCTCTCCGAGTCCGGACGCTTTGAGGTCCTACCTCTTCGAAGGGCTTCTTGGTAAAGACAGATCCACCCTCTGGGATCAAATGCAGTTTTGGGAGGATGCATTCCTAGATGCAGTCTCGCAAGAAAGGGATATGATTGGAATGGATCAGGTGAGTTTGAAGACTTTTTTTCGATACATGAACGACCGTCTTCAATTATTTATTCTATTTTTTGACTTTTGGGGGAAGTTTCACCAGTTTCACCACCAATTTGGATGAAATTATTACAAAATTTTCATGAAGGCCTTTCAATGCATGATGTGTAATTCAATTTTTCATTTTTTTGATTACTTAGACAAAAATTAGGGGTGAGTGTAGACTCAAAGCCATTAGGCCACATGTGACCCTTTGTACATCCTCCCGAGGAGTTGTCCTAGGTCATCTTCCATCCTGTCCTTCCCAGGAAGGTAAACAGGTCTGGGAGACATCTCCTTTATATTGGCAGGTGTAGGCCAAGACTCGTCGAACACACACTCTCTTTGGCAACCTTGAGGTGTCTCACAGTGGCCTCCTTGAAGGTTTTGGAAGGCGCAGCGATATTACTGTCGTTGCACAGCTTCTTCAACCTTCTTGAAGTTCCTTCCGTGGAGGTGTACAAGTGAGGGAGCTTTCCTGCAAGGGCAGCCGGTTCCTTTGCTCTCGGACAGCGGTTCCAATTTCTGTTCTTTCGTGGACGCGAACCATGCAAAGAAGGGGACTCGAACTCCTGACGACTTTACAGGTTCCATCCAGTACCATTCTGTCATGTAAACACTCCAAACTCATTATTATTATCATTATCACAGTGTTATGCGTTTTTTTCTGTTCTAGGGTCCTCGAGAAATGATGGAACGTTACAAAAGTTTAAGTGATACGGAAAGGAAGAGGTTAGAACACGAAGAGGATAAATTATTGGCGACGCAACTTTACAATCTGACCGCTATTCTCGTCATGTTGAATTGTGGCAAAGAGGAAATAAAAAGAAAAATCAGACGGCTTCTAGGAAAAAGCCACATTGGTTTTATTTATAGTAACGAGGTTAATCTACTGCTTGATCAAATTCACAATTTGGTGAGTCCATTTCTGAATAGTTCTAAAAATATTATATATTTTTGAATTATCAATTGATTTACTATCATAAAATAGGAAAATAATGGAATATTACAATATGGTGGTGTCAAACCATTAAAAATCAAGGTGATAGATATTCGAAAAACATTTTTGAAATATTGAATATATTGAATCTTCGAAATAACATTGTGTGAAACACAACTGACCAACTGAAAACCTTAGAGAAAGTGAATGTTTCTAAATCACTTGCTATCAAAACTCACATTGTGGGGAGGTGAAGTCAATACTTGTTCATCCGTAATATTAACCCATCTTGTGAGTTCCTTCTTATTTTGTTCATGGTACAATATCTTCACAGTGAAGTCTGTGGTCTCACTGAAGAAAATGTCAGGACCAAACATATTCGTGACAAAAACATTTGGCCAAATGAAGCATCATACAAAAATTTCGCTAATTTCGTCGTTTTATGTATTTTCCTCGTTGATCGCCATACCATTTTTACATTAGGCGCATTATTGATGTATTTTTTATTGATTGTTTTGTGCGAGATGTTTATTACTGGGATGTTTTCGGCTGAGATATTATTTCTGAGGAAGAAAGAACGGGAGCCCTCATTCATCATCACTCAATGTTCCTGGTTGCCCATTTTCCTAAGAAACATACATATTTATAGTAATACAAAAAGCATTCAGAAGTATAATATAACTTACTACGAACAAAAAAAAGAAGAATATATCAAAATTTCCCGTGGGTGAATTTATATTTAGTATCAGTATTGCACCCATGCGGAGCCGGGGCGTATCGCTAATACATAAAATATATATTCATAACCAGATTGTAACCTCAAGACTCAACACCTTGGCTAAAAAAAAACTTCATTGTGAGATGTTCACTAAACAGTTTGACGAAAATGCAACATGTGTTTCGCTGAACAATAGATTCTTCAGGAGTGTCTTTACGCCTGTTGAATATTAACTGACAGTTGAATCAATATATTTGTTGGTTAATGCGAATATTCTGATTTTATTAACGAATGAAGTAATTTTCTTTGAAGTCATTTCAGTACCTGGATAAGATGCCATTTGTGACATAAGTTGGCGGTTTTGCTACATTTCCAATACCAGAATGACAATTCCCGTCATTTTTGAGCTATTCTTTCTCTTCCGGAATGGAATAGTCAGTACGCTTGCCAGAAGTATTATATAACCTCAAAGTTTTCCATTAGTCCTGACTTCCATTGTATGATATTATATAAAATAATTTGAAATCCCTGAAAGAACTAATAAAAAAAGAAGAATTACTTTCATCACTTTCACAATGGAAAAGGAAGTGTAAAACGAAATAATATTCTTAGACGTATTGGTGAAGAGGACCGACACTAAGTGGGAAATGACGACTCTAAACGTCATCAATCGACTGAAAGAGGATCAAGACTATTAGACCGTGCTTTCGGGCTCTGTAATACGAAGGAAGGTCTCGAGAAAGAACTAGACATCCTTAAAAATGATTTTCAACGGAATGGCTACTCCAAAGCAATGGTAGAACAGACTTTGGCTGAAAGACAGAAGGAGCCTCGCAAGGAAGAGAAGCCGTCGCAACTAGTGCTTGCACTTTTCTACATTAGGGGATTATCGGAAAGTCTGAGAAGAATTGGATCAAGTACAACATCAGAACCTGCTTCAGATCCGAAAACACTATCCGTAGTAACCTCACGAAAATCAGGCCACCAAACGCGGACTGCGACTCCAAGAATTGCATTCACCTAATACCCTGCGAGTGCGAATATCCTATATAGGTGAAACTAAGAGGCCATTGAATAGCAGAGCATGTTTGGACCCATCAACATAACATCGAGTGGTCCCAAGCTGAGATCCTACAAAGGACCATTGGCTTAGGAGGAAATTCAAAGAAGCCGCATACATGTTGTACAACAATGTATTCAGCCAAGCTAGCGTAGAGATTAGCAACATATGGAAACCTATGGAATATTTCAGCGAAAAATGGCCCCAAACGTTCATCTTCCATTGAACCGGTGAAGAGAAAAAAAAAGCGGAGAAAGTGAAAGTACTCGAATGATCCATAAATAGTAATTTCTCAGAGTAATTAGTCCAGTCATCACCCGAAGACGAATGTGGATACTAACAATCGAAACGTTGTTTTATATATTATCAGACAATGGAAGTCCGAACTAATGAAATCCATCATGAAACATTGTCAGTCACCTTAAAACAAACTCAGTGTTTTCCTTGAAGTTTCTGAGGAATGATTGGAATATATTTTTGTTTCCAGAATGGTAACGATATCGATCTGAAACCTTTGGGATCTCGTCTCCTCCACAGGCAGAGTTTCACGGTTCACCATGGAGTTGATTGCACCGGAGAGTTGAGGCAAGTTACTCAGTTGCTGTTTTAGTTGATCAACCCCTGAGGATTTAACATAATGTTTTCCATCTGAAAATATACATTGGTATATCAACTCTGACTATATCAGAAGTTTTCGCTTACAAAGTTCTGGTGCAGTCGGATTGCCACGTCACTTGGTTCTAATTGAATCGACCTGTCGAGTTAATTAAAAAAAAACTATGAATATTTTGGTTTCATTCTTTAGATTTATGGAGGTTAGAGACGACGGCCTTGTCCTGAGATCTGTGACAGGCGTTATAGTGGAAAGATGGTGGTTTGAAAGACTCGTCAATATGACGTACAGTCCGAAAAATAAAGTGTTGTGTCTTTGGAGAAGAAACGGCCAACAGACGCAGCTACATAAATATTACACCAAAAAGGTAAGCTTATTTGAAACAATCTTCCTTTCACAGTCTCAAAAATTTAGTTCGTATTGAAACAGTTGAATCAGCCTACTCATTTTTGTAGCGAATACAAGAAACCAATAACTACGAAAGAAAGCCAGTATTTTATATTTATGTATTCATCCGAACAATAGCAGATTTAAAGGAAAAATCAATGTTTCTCCATGAAAAGTTGATCTTTCCAGACTACGAAAGAAACTGGAATTAGGTGGTGGGCTCTGTGGTATGATTTTGAATAGCAAGTCTAGTTTGACCAACATATTTGTTATTTATATGTTTCATTGTGAAAATAACACCATTGGAAAGGCTCAAACTCTTTGATAGTTGTGGAACATGAGTCCTCATTGATATTGATTACCAAAAGAGACCTATAAATAAGGAGAATTTAGCTTCAAAAAACAAAATTATTGAATATTGTTCAACCTCGAAAGTTTTAGGGCTGTACATAATGAAATTTTTTCTCCTACTGAGATACTACACTTAGAAATACTATCTAGGGTTATTAATTAATTATTAATTAATACTGAAAAAGCATATGCTGGTTGAGAGAAAAATAGATTTCAATTGATATGTTACTGATTTCTTCAATGACTCTCATTAATTTGAATTTTTGTTTGAATGTTTTTGACAAGTTTCTTGATAGATGTTGCAAATTCGGACATCCATCATCTTAAAAGGTGTGAACAGATTTGAAATCTATGGGAAGAAAAAGAAGAATGATATATTACAAATATTAAAAATATACTGAAAAAAAACTACGGCCGAAATATTCGGTCCCAGTTAATTGAAAAAAAAGGATGATATCGAAGAAATCAGAAAAAATAAATTATGAAATGCAAATAAAATTACAATTGAGTTAATAATGAGTCAAATTTCAATTATATTGAAAAAATGTACAAAAAAATTATGAAAAACTATAAAAATGGTAAATGAGAAATAACCAGTACTTCATATAAATTCTTCTAGATAAAGTATATGCTCATGGAATTCATGAAGCTGCATTCGAATGGGTTCAATTATTCATTACCAATGAAGAAACATTTGTCACTAAAACATCAAGAGTCAACTCATGTATAATACAAAAAAATCTGAGTTCCGCAGGGATCTGTTTTTGGACCGATATTGTTTCTGCTCTATACCAATGATTGCAGAGAGTCCTACCTTCATAAGGTATGCTGATGATACATCGATAATTATCAGTGAAAAAACTGATGAAAAAATTATTTGAGTTATGAAAATTTGTGTAATATGTCTACATGGGGTAACATTATAAATGGTCATATAAGTGTATTGTTAGAGTACGGGTGTAGAAAAACTCTTTGTATTTCTAAAACGCATTTGATACGGTTTCATAATAGCCGGGAAATATATAGTGAATTTGAAATTAAAATGAACCCAGTCTTACTGGAATACCATCTCCATACCTAGTTTTTTGAAACTCCAAGGACAAAGTCGAGAATCCGGAAAAGTCTGGAATTCATGAAATTAAGTGTGACTAAAAAATCTAATGAAATAATATAGAACAATTAGCATACCTAAATTATGGAAGACCAGAAAAATCATCAGTCGTTCATCATGTTTTACAACAAAACCATTTCATAGACTTCAGTTCATTAAGATAAGTTAGACATTTTACCAACTACAGGTATGCATACAGGATGCCTGTTAGAGCTCAGAAATAAGTGAACATAATAATATTATGAATAACGATGGTGGACATATACATATATACATATATACTATAAAGCTTGTTGACATAATATTTTTAGTTATCAGATTTAGTTGACTGGTAGATGAGGTTATTGAAACACGTGACAAGTTGTTGAAAATAACGGTTTGGTGTTGAGATGAAACTCCATAATATTCATTGAAAATATATAGTGCATTTCTTCAGTGTCGCCAATGGGCGCCATCTGGAAAATAAACAAATAGAAAGGGTGGTCTTGTGACACATCATTTTGAAGCTCCTCGAATACTTCAAAACCCCAGAATATGAAGTCAATATCTTTACCTAGTACGAAATAGCGGAACTTTTAATAATTGCCTAAATACATTGACATTTAACTACATAATAAGAGGTAATACGCTTGAGGTCAGTTCAGAAGATGCTCGAAATAATTGCCTTGAACTTCTTGATATATGAACAGCCTATCCGATTTCACGCCGAACATTTTCGAACACAGTAACGTCAATATCTCTACAAATATTCATTATTCTCTGCCGGATATCCAATAACGAAGCAGGTTCAGTTTCGTACACCTTTTTCTTCAAATAGCCACCTGGAAAAAGTCCAAAGGTGTCAAACCTGGCGAGCGGGCTGGCCATTATGTAGGACCTCGACGGCCAATCCAACGACCGGAAAAAGTAGGATCCAAATAGTTTCTTACTTGTCTGGAGTAATATGTTGGTGCTCCATCTTGTTGGAATAAGATATCTATATCGAATTCATTAGAATTCTCATCGACGATTTCAGTGATGAGAGGGTCAACAGTAGTTTTCACCATATTCAAATATAGTTCCCCTGTTGAATTTTGATCAATAAATAGAGGTCCTACAATATGATTTCCCAATATTCCTGTTCAAACGTTAATTTTTTCTAGATATTGGGTATGTGTTTTCTGGAAGACGTGAGGGTTGGTGTCACTTCAATATCGGCAATATTGCCGTTTAAAAAAATGTAGATTCGTCACTAAATTGTTGATTGTTAATTGGTGCTCTATTCTAATTTTGTATGACCTGGTGGCTTTTTGATATGTATACTACCAGTAGTTGTATATGTATATGTATTTAGCACAAGATAATGCAGTTACAATATTAGTCTTAATCTAGGTTAAAAATTCAAATGTCACAATTAAAATTTAAAATTTAAAATCATGTACATTGAAAATATTTGTCTTCAGGAAATTATTAAATGTTTCGCCATTTTGTAGTAGGTGAAGATATTGACTTCATATTCTTGGGTTGTGAAGTATTCGTCAGGAGCTTCAAAATGATGTTCCACAAAACCCCCTTTCCATTTAATTTTTCTCCCAGATGGCGCCTAGTCGCCATCTTGAAAGTTTCATCTGTCAATTTCACTTCAGAATAAAATTATCATGCATTAATTTCATTATCCCAAATTCCAATTCTTTGAGTTGACCTGTTTAAAAAATGAAATGGGAGGGACATGTATAACAAAGAATCCATTAAAATGAGAAATTGACGCCTATAACGATTGAGTGTCCTCGAAAACTGTTTTTAATTGGCAATATTGTATATTTGTTGAATTAATATTTCTCACTCTAAACTGGTGATAGCTCTTTTATTGTTTTGCGTATCAATTCCTAATTCATATTTAGGTTATATCTGTCTGTTTAAAATCTGTTTTTCCGTTAATATGGTGACTGTTTGTTTGTTGCCTGTATATCCTGGGAATGAATAAATAATTATTATCAATACTGGGATTTCTAAGGTTTCAATTCATTCATACTGCTTCTTCTAGTGCAAACAACTGTACTATTGCATAAAGGAGGCCATGGAACGTGGAGGAGTGTCTGGTACGGCGCCAGAATTGGGAGGGGAGTTTCCAGTTCAAGACATGAGTACGGGAGAAGGAGGCCTGTTACAGGTCTGCATGGAGGGAGTCGGTTTGCTCTTCGCCAACAGCAAGGTAGCAATTTGTTTTGATATTAACTTTCGGATATTTAGAACATTCGTAGGGAAACGTGACATTAGAATTTTGGTGCACATTGATGTAAATATCGTTCCTGAGGAAATGTTGAGAGTTTTGAAGTATTACGAAATGACAGTTGGGCGTCAATAGATCCACCATTTGACGAAAGAAGTGAAGTTCATGGCTAAAATAGTTCTTTCGTGAATATGCATTCAGATGTTTTCTGAAATATCATGATTGATATCTTTGCCAATGATTAGAGATAATGAAACAAACTATATTACTTTCTGGGTTATTTTGGCTAATCTTGACTTCAACCAAGTCAATTCAATTTTCCAACTTCCTCGAATGAAATAGATCAGGCCATCGAAATATTTAGTTTTCAATACATAATTTTTTCCATCGTCTTCTCGATATATTAAAATTGTCATCGAATTAGGAAAATATATTGAGCACATCTCAGCTGAATCAATGATAATAATGAGTTCAATGATCCCAAGGAACATACATGTTTATAGAGGGAATGGAAGAGAATAACAAATATTATGAAACAATAATAATAATAATGATGAATTGATTAATACTCAGTAGAGACAGGTGAAATTCGAAAGTTTTCATGTTCATGGAATTATTCATTATCTTCGACAGTAACAGTTTTTTGATACTCATATCAGCGTATCAATAGTAACTTCTGAGGCTTGAATAACTCTTCAGATCGTCCAATATCTGTCTTTTCAATTTTTAGAGCTGTCAAAAGACGTTTCTGAAATCCCGCAGAATTATCTCATTTCAGTTGTCCCTCTTCTTGAGTCTTAGGTTCTTACACGAAAAATACTCTAATAAACATGAAACTTTTCGTCAAATTGCAAATAATTTTGAGATAGGAAAATACTATCAAGTGAGGGAATTCACATGATTTTTGTCTGAGAGACGCTCAACCAGCTCAAATATTTCAATTGGCGGAATAGTGGGACATAAATTTTGGACATCCAAAGATATTGGTTTAGCGTTATCAGGAATAATCACGTTATAAATAGTATTCCCGAATTCATAGGTATAATTTTTACTAAATCGCGGCTTGAGATTTGTATGGGTTGGAATTGGGTTTATCCGCATTCCTGAGACTGATGTCGTTACAAAATACACCACAGATCCAATTTTGAACTTGGTTTTATGTGATTGGATAAGAAAGTACAGTTTGGTTGGTTGAGAATTCATGAACACTGCCCTGCATTTATCACTTCCATTCATAACCAGCTCTATTATCGTGATATTTCCTTTGACCTCTTTCTGGTATAGATCTGTAGGATGATTCTTCAGAATATCGTAGTTTCCCGAATTGAGGAAATCTAGAGTTTTGCCTACGTAGTTGTTTTTACTTAACGCAATGACTGTTCGACCTTTATCTGCTCTCGTGAAAATAGCTTTTTGTTTCAATCATTTTGCAGTTTTCTTTCCGCTATCTGACTCAATTTGATCAACAGGTTTTGATTTCAATACATTTGTAGCGAGGTTTCGACTTGAACTTTCAAAAAAGTTATATTCGATGAAAGAAAACTCACGAAAATCATGAATTGAAATGCTGCAATTCGTCAATTTGGTGGAATTTCGTTACCAACGATTGACAGTCATAAGTTTTCTCGCTGTAAACTTTTTCAAAACAGCTCATTTTGTTGAAAAATCACTGCGTCACATTTTCATTTCGACTATAAGTGTGAACCAAAAAAAATTGACAAGACCGTTCAAATCGAAATAATGAAACCCTGGAATCAATTTGTTGTATTATACTCAATGTGCACCAAACTAAGAGATTACTCGTTGAAATTTTCGATTCCGAATTGAAGATTAAAATGATTATTTCCACAAACGAAAAGTATTTTAATCTTCATCAGAATATTATTATTATCATTTCTTGATTGTTCCGTGTCGTTGGGTGCGCTGTTGTGCATTTGTTTTGCAAGGACCACTCAAAACCTTCCTATTTGCTCTCGCCACTAGCTCGGTTGCTATATTTGTTCTGCATATGTATATATTTTACTTTTTTTATCGTTACATTCATCTGTGGATTCGTCGTGAAACATGCGTGAAATATAATTTCGTTCATTTGTGCCTTTACTATATGTTGAAGTATGCCGTTATTGATTTCGAATTTTTTTATATTTTTCTCAGCCGTTAAAACATTTGTAGGAGGCAGTAGGTCTTCAAGAATATATTGTTTCCTAAATTTCGAGTAGGTATACTTGGATTTTCATCTCACCCACTATTCACCTTTACCACCATTTTTTTGTAGAGCTTTACTTTTTTCTCAACATATTTGTTTCTATTTGAAAGTGGTTGATAATGTTTCATGGCAAATTTTACTGGTTCAGACTTCCATTGTCTTATAAGATTCTATTATGATTCGAAATTTATGGGGCAACAAATAAAATTAAAATGAGTAGCTAAAATATCAATTATATTGAACAATAAAACGTGAATTGCAAATACATTGAAACGAATGAAAAAATCAAGATAGAAGATAGAAATGACCAGAGTAAAAAGTAAAAAAAAAGAAAAAAAAAGCAATCCAAGTTACTTCACGACGTTTTGATTATATGTCTTCAGGTGATAACTGGACTATTTCTACGTGAAACGACTATTTATGCGTCATTCAAACGCTCTCATCTATCCCGTCTTCCCTCTCTCTGCTCCACCGGTTTAGCAGAAGTTGGCCGGTTTTTTTCCCACTTGATTACAGGTTTCTATATGTTGCGTATCTCCACGCTAGCTTGGCCTAATGCTTTGTTGGACAATATATACGCAGCTTCTTTGAACTTCCTCGTGAACCAGTGTCTCTCCCTGTAGATAATCCCAGCTTGGAACCACTTCATGTTATGTTGATGAGTCCAAACATGATCTGCTATTAACGATTTGCTGGTTTCTCCTCGCTGTGTATTTTTCTTGTGCTCGGCAATGCAGTCTTTCGATGGTCTCTTAGTTTCACCAATATAGCATTTTCCGCGTTTGTTGGCCTGGTTTTGACGAGGCTGTTACGGCTGGTGTTTCCGAAATTGAAGCAGATTCTGATGTTGAATTTGGACCCAATTATTCTCACCATTTTTTGACAAGCACTGGTTGTGATGGCTTCTCTTCCTTGCGAGGCTCTTTCTGTCTACTAGTCGAAGTTTGTTCCACCATCACTTTGGGGTAACCATTCTGTTGAAAATCTTATGTGATGATGCCTAATTCTTTCTCGAGACCTTGCTTCCTATGATTGAGCCTGGAAGAACTATCCACTAGTCTTGCTGGGTTTTTGGTATACAGATGTTTCCTGCTTAGTGTCGGTCCTTTCGCTAAATGGTTAACTCCCACTAAATCGGAGAAGTGAAGAGAGGGGATAGGTGAAAGCGCTCAAAAGACCTATAAATAGTCATCTCTCTGAGAAATAGTCCAGGATGGCCAATCAAGTCAAACAGGCCATCATTGACCACCGAAACGATAGGTGGGAGGAGCTCTGGGAATCCCTTGAGCCTGGAGATGACGAGCTTTGGCGAGTTACCCGTAGACTCAAAGGGAAGAAGACTGCGCACATCCACGGAGAGCGTGGAGTGTGCTACTCCCCCGCTGACAAAGCGTTGGCCTTTGCCGGCACGATAGAACGTCAGATTCAACTTAACGTTGACGACAAAGACGACATCGACCGCAATATGCTGTTGGGAGATCGGGTTCACCGTATACCCAGGGAAGATGACGACGACGACGACGTCCATCTTCTGTAGAAGAACGGAAGGGTTACATCAGGACCGCAAAAGCCAAGAAAGCTCCGGGAGCCGACTCAATAACCAACAAGTTATTGGAGAGGCTCCCGGACAATTGCGTTGAGAACCTCCTGAACTTAATAAACAGTTCGTTGGCCCTCAGATGCTTCCCCAGAAGGTGGAAGCATGCGATCGTCGTCATGATTCCAAAACAGGGTCAGAACCTGTTGTTTCCACGTAACTATCGGCCGATCAGTCTGCTCTCGTCGGTGGCTAAGCTGGCTGCAAAGACTCAACGAAGAAGTTGAAGATCGAAATGTTCTGCCTGACGAACAATTAGGCTTCAGGAGAGAATACTCCACTGAGCTACAGGCACTGAGACTGATCGAACATACCATGGCAGAACTAAATCAAAATCGTAAAGTTTATGTCGTGCTTTTAGACATATCGAAGGCCTTCGACCGCGTATGGTACGAAGGTCTTCTGCACAAGCTAGTTGCGTTCGACCTGCCTCGGGGTCTGATCCGGTGGATTGGAACTTTCCTGAAAGACATAACATTTCAGGGTATAGTAGAGGGCTCTCTGTCTGACAATAGAGAAACCCTCGCTGGAGTGCCGTAGGGGGCTGTGCTCTCTCCCACGCTGCAGCGACTTCCCAAGGTCCGAGCATGTGAAGATATCTCTATACGCCGATGACACACGGTTCTCCTCTCATCTTCCATGGATCGGGAACTCGGGATCGTCTACATGCAACGTGCATTGGACGATCTCGAGCGCTGGTACCTCAAATGGAAGATCCGGTTGAACCCGGACCAGAGTCAGGAGATAACCATGGGAAGAACGATATCTTCTCCGGCCAGAAAAGTGAGAATCTTTGGAAGGGATATTGATTGGCAAGTGCGGGAAAAGTACCTCGGTCTTCTGATAGACCGTAGGCTCACCTGGAACCGTGAAGGCAAAGATCGAGGGTTGAATCAAAAGTCTCTACCATTCGATCAACAGACGTTCTAAACTGAGCCTTACGATCTACAACACGATGTTCAAGCTTGTCATCATGTATGCTTGAGGCGTCTGGGGACAAGAGGCTACATCTGATATCTCCATTCTGGAGACATTGCAAAACAAGGATGATTGTGAAAGATCCTTGGTTCGTGCGGAATGAAGCCATCTGCAGAGATTTGAAGCTACCTTCCATTCGGCAGTCCATTCAGTCGAGGAATCAGTGAGTTTTTGATTGCGCAGAAACTCATGAAAATCCGTTATTATGAGAAGCTATGGATTATGCTGTAGACGACCCCTCTCGATATAGAAGGACCCGACACTCTGTCGAATGAGGCCCCTATGTCCTTCGTTAAAAGAACAATCTTATCATCCATCTCACCCCAGCCAGGTAGGGGTACACCGTGAAGAGCGGCACTGATGTCTGAGGATATTCATGTCACCATCCCATCATCAGTCATGACCCATTTGTCCCTCTGAAAAACACCATTCTAAAGAGTAAGGGAGCCAGTCTTCAACCTGTACGAAACCAAGATGGCTGTCGGTAATAGTCCAGTCATAACCCGAAGGCGATTGTGGATACAATCGAAACGTCGTGAAGTAACTCGGTTTGAAATCTTTTTTTTTTAAGTTTATGTTTATTTCTTTTTTTTTATTTGTTATTTTTTTCTACTTGGTGGTTATTTTATTCTTTCATCTTTTTTGTCTTATTTGGTTTTTATTTCACGTTTTATTGCTTGATTTTAATAGATATTTCAGCTATTCACCCTCGAGAAGAGGTTGCATCCACCCCTAGGGTACAAGCAATCCCCAGTAAGGATGAACTTTGGAATTGAGAATTAGTGGAACCTAAATTCAAATTTTTATTCAAATCGGTACACGAAAATAAATATTTGGAAATACAATTTTGAAACATTCATCTCTCCCACCTTACTACACAGTAGGATCTAAAAGTATATGCTCTGCTGTTTCATCATTTTCCAAACAGAGGCGTCACACACTGTTTTCCGACAGTCCAAGTCTCTGCATGTGATGATTCAAATGACAGAGACCTGTAAGAAGGCATGTTAGACATCGTAGTTTATCCCTTCTGTAGTCCAACAACTGTTTGGAATCAAGCTTCGAAGGGTGAATAAACGCCTTGGAGTGAGCCAATCCTGGAAGATTCTGCCAGAAGTCCATAACTCTTCTTGCCATCCAGGTATTGAGTGTTTGTTTGGCAAAGTCCAAAGCGATGCAAATGACAGGTTCTGGTCAAATGTAGCCGCTTGCAGCACCCTCCTTCGCAAGAGAGTCAGCAGCTTCATTGCCTTCCAGGCCAGTATGGCCAGGAATCCATACCAGAGACAATCTGTTGAGTCTTCCTATCGAGGAGAGTCTTTGTTGGCAGTTTGCAACCAATTTAGACATTTCTCGGTGGGAGCCAAGAGCTTCCACCACCTCTTGACTGTCTCTACTCGGGAATAGTACTTTATGAGGCAGTGTGGCAATGTGCACAAGTCTGTATGCAGTCTATCTAGCCTCTCTTTCCAGAAAAATGTGGAGAGGAGGTAGATCTAGAAGGATCTCCATGGCCGCTGATGGTGTGGTACTGATGGCACCACTGATAGCCAGACAAGCCTATCTCTGTAAGCCAGAGAGCTTCGCTTGGGCCGTTTTCTGTAAAGCCTTCGGCCGCCAAGCAATTGCACCATACGTGATCATTGGTCTGACAATCATTACATAAATCCAATGGATTTGTTTGGGACCTAAACCCCAAGTTTTACCACAAATCCTTCTACATGTCCATAGAGACAGTCTGGCTTTGTGTAAAACTTTTTCCAAGTGAGCGTTCCAGATGAGTCTTTCATCAAGGACAATGCCAAGATATTTCACCTCCGTTCCAAATGGAATGACCACTCCATTGAGGAAAAGTGGCGTTAGATATTCCAATTTCCTTTTCTTGGTGAAGGGGATTAACACAGTTTTGCTGGGGTTGACAGACTGCTCCCTCAGGCATCAACTGTGAACAACGTCCACCGCGCTTTGGAGGATATTAGAAGCTACTCATCCCGACATGGACCTCGCCAGGATGACAAGGTCATCTGCATGAGCTTGCAGATCAACTTTTCTTTTGTCGAGGGCATCAAGCAGACTATCCACCAGGAGCGACCACAGAAGAGGGGATAGTACCCTCCCATTAAACAACGAGGTTGTAACCAAAGCTGCGTTTTGAATTGCCATGTATACTCATAGAAATCACAACAGACAAAATTCTAGATAACCTCAAAATTTTAGCTTTATTTAATGTAACTGAAGTAGACGATTCTTCCATTTATACCTATGCATGAAGCTCGATGTGCAATTATTTTCTTTGCTGTACTTTTTTGTCTCTATGAATGCTGAATGTTTCTTTAAGATCTTCTACCTCTTTCTCTCTATAGATGTTCTGAACTCCGAACTGAGTGGTCGTGACTGCTGAAAAATAAAGTGAGATGAGAGTTGTATTGTTTTTATTTTATTTTTTCGTCGGGAGAGCTCTCAGAGAGAATGCTTGATAGGAACTTTTGAGATGGTCCTTTGTCAGTAAAATACTAATTGTTTTTATATTTTTCTTCATATGTCCACGTCGAAACGTTGCTGCTTGAAGGACTTTGAGGTATATACAAAATTGGTCTTTAGAGTTACTTTTGTCGTTAGTTTTAGTGAATAGTCTTTGTTTAGTTTAGACGCTTTCCCTGTAGATTCCAGCTAATGCATTTAGAAGAGTGTGTTAACGATTGGCACCGCGTTTTCAACTGAATACGCGTTTATATCATACGTTTATATCAGACGTTTATAACTGACGTTTAGAAACGTGTCTTATAAACGTTCAGGCTTCCTAGGTAGACATATTCAAATAATTACACCCCTTGATTCCTGATATGCGCCACAGAAAGAATTTTAAAACGATTGAAAGTCATTGTTGCGCATACCTGTAGCGAACTTAGCTGCTTATTTTTTGCGGGTAAAACCGCATGGCAAATAACACATCTTGTTAACACTAGTTATGAACTCACGATACACGAACACCAGTAACCCCGTTTGTTTAGTTTTGCCATGTAGGTTCATTCTAACATAATCGAACCATCTCTAAAGTTGCCTAGGGCTCTCGCATGTCTGCTGAAGCGCATGTATTTATTTGCTTTTAGCTTCGTCGTGTACTGAATCTCATGGTTTGCATGGTATTCCGAGGAGACGGTTCCATCGGACCATCGAAGAGTACACTAAGATTTTCTTGACACAAACGAACATTTTGTTGTGTATGTTTATTCGGGAAGTGATTTTTAGGGATCTAACATTCATTTTGAATCTCACTAAAGGCTAGTTAGGCAGTAGATTGAGCAGTCACATATTTTGACATGAACTGACATGTGGCACAAAATAATAGTGTTCCCGAGGGACACTATTATTATATTATAATAGTGTTCCCGAAGAAAACTATTATCACTGGTCACACGTTCAATATTCGAGCTCTATTATCAATCTGTCACCTATGGTAACGTATACATTCATTGTGAATCTCTATTAAGGCTAGTTAGACAGTAAATTGAGCAGCCACATTTCTAGAGCAAAACTTTCATGAGGCCCACATTAGTCAGATGACTGATTCTGAGTCTAGTATTCGGGCTGTTCATTGTTATTCTCTATGAAGGCTAGTTAGACAACAGCCAAATTTCTAGACCAAAACTGTCATGTGGCCAGAACTCTCATGTGGTATACATTCATTGTGAATCTCTATGAAGGCTAGTTAGACAGTAAATTGAGCTGCCACATTTCTAGACCAGAACTGCCATGAGGCACACATTATTCTGGTGTTAATAATGGCATTTTAGGAGGAACACAATTATCACTGGTCCTGAGTCCAGTATTCAAGCTCTTTTATCAACCTGTCACCTATGGTGACGTATACATTCATTGTAAACTCTAAAAGTCTAGTTAGACAATAAATTGAGCAGCCACATTTCTAGACCAAAACTGTTATGTGGCCTACATTAATCTGATGACTGGTTCTAAGTCCAGTATTCGAGCTCTATTATCAATCTGCCACCTACGGTGGCGTATATATTTATTGTTATTCTCTATAAAGGCTTGTTAGACAGCAGCCACATTTCTAGACCAGAACTGTCATGAGGCCCATATCAGTCTGATGACTGATTCTAAGTCCAGTTAATAATGGCGTTTCAGGAGAAACATAATTATCACTTGTCCTAAGTCCATTATTCGAGCTTTATGGTACCATCTATGGTAACGTATACATTCATAGTGAATCTCAATGAAGGCTAGTTAAACAGTGAATTGAGCTGCCACATTTCTAGATTAAAACTGTCATGCGGCCCACATTAATCAGATGACTGATTCTAAGTCTAGTATTCGGGCTGTTCATTGTTATTCTCTATGAAGGCTAGTTAGACAACAGCCAAATTTCTAGACCAAAACTGTCATGTGGCCAGAACTGTCATGTGGTATACATTCATTTTGAATCTCTATGAAGGCTAGTTAGACAGTAAATTGAGCAGCCACATTTCTAGGCCAGAACTGTCATGTGGCACACATTATTCTGGTATTAGTAATGGTGTTTCAGGAGGAACATAATTATCACCGGTCCTGATTTTAGTATTCGAGCTCTTTTATCAATCTGCCACCTATGGTGACGTATACATTAATTGTAAACTCTAAAAGGCTAGTTAGACAGTAAATTGAACAGTCACATTTCTAGACCAAAACTGTTATGTGGCCTACATTAATCTGATGACTGGTTCTAAGTCCAGTATTCAAGCTCTATTATCAATCTGCTACCTATGATGGCGTATATATTTCTTGTTATTCTCTATAAAGGCTAGTTAGACAGCAGTCACATTTCTAGACCAAAACTGTCATGAGGCCCACATTACTCTGATAACTGATTTTAAGTCCAGTTAATGATGGTGTTTCAGGAGGAACATAATTATCACTTGTCCTGAGTCCAGTATTCGAGCTGTATTATCAATCTGCCACCTATGGTATCGTATACATTCATTGTGAATCTCTATGCAAGCTAGTTAGACAGTGAATTGAGCAGCCACATTTCTAAATCAAAACTGTCATGCGGCCCACATTAATCAGATGACTGATTCTAAGTCTAGTATTCGGGTTTTCCATTGTTATTCTCTATGGAGGCTAGTTAGACAACAGTCACATTTCTAGACCAAAACTTTCATGTGGACAGAACTGTCATGTGGTATACATTCATTTTGAATCTCTATGAAGGCTAGTTAGACAGTAAATTGAGCAGCCACATTTCTAGACCAGAACTGTCATGTGGCACACATTATTCTGGTATTAGTAATGGTGTTTCAGGAGGAACATAATTATCACCGGTCCTGATTCTAGTATTCGAGCTCTTTTATCAATCTGCCACCTATGGTGACGTATACATTCATTGTAAACTCTTAAAAGCTAGTTAGACAGTAAATTGAACAGTCACATTTCTAGACCAAAACTGTTATGTGGCCTTCATTAATCTGATGACTGGTTCTAAGTCCAGTATTCGAGCTCTATTATAAATCTGCCACCTACGGTGGCATATATGTTCATTATTATTCTCTACAAAGGCTAGTTACACAGCAGCCACATTTTTACACCAAAACTGTCCTGTGACCCATATTAATGTGATAGCTGGTTGTTAGTCCAGTATTCGAGCTGTTTCATCAATCTACTACCAATAGTAACATATATGTTCATTGTGAATCTCCATACAGGCTAGTTAGACAGTAAATTGAGCAGCCACATTTCCAGACCAAAACTGTCATGTAACACACATTAATCTGGTGGTAATAATGGTGTTCCCAGAGGAACACAATTATCAATGGTCCTAAGTCCAGTATTCGAGCTCTGCCACCCACCTACGGTGACGTATTGGTTTATTGTGTATTTCTATAAAGGCTTGTTAGACAGTAGAGCAAGCAGCCACTTTTCTAGACCAAAACTGTCATCTGGTGTTAATAATAGTCTTCTCGAATAACATCGTCATCGCTGGTCCTTAGTACAGTATTTGAGCTCTATTATCAATCTGTCTGTATATGACAATGAACGTATACGCCACTATAGGTGGCAGCTTGATGATATAGCTCGCATACTGGACTTAGGACCAGAGACAATGAACAATAATAAAAGCTGGCTACCTGTCCTTACAAACGAACAGGTGATACAACTAAGAACGATATAAACAGAGCGCCCAGTACTGAAATAGTAGTTGATGCGTTGGTTACAACAGGAACAAGAACTCGAGCACTAGCTCGAGTAGCTTCATTTCCCGTCGTGAAAGTTTACATTCTTCGAGTGATAATGGTGTTCCTCACCAAACACCATTAGCATTGGTCCGTACTAAGACTTTTCGGACACCCAGTATTCGACCCTACAGAAGGTTCTGTTGTCGAGTCGTTTCTATTTTTCAACTTATTGTGAAAACTTTTGTATTGAAGGAAACGCATCATTTTCTGTTACTTGTAATTTCTACAAAATCAAAAGAAATCAAGTCAGTTGCTGCAACAGCAGATATTATTGTGTAAAAAATGCTTGTATTATGCAAAATCTAACAACAGAATACTGAAAACTTTCATTTTCACAAAATGAACGAATGCTGGTTGACCAATGATTCGTGCATGACAGTTCAAAGCTTTTGAATGTTTGCTGATGGTTCTGAACGAGAAGCCCATTGCTTTCTCTTTGCTCCATGAGATTCAGTACACCATAGTTCATAGAGCCGTTGGACTAACTTGAATTTCGTGATGATTTTGCAGTTTTTCGTGAGGATTGTCCACATTAGGAAATGCTTCACGCAAAAAGGAAATATATTCGTGATAGAGGAATTCAGTAAGTATTTTTTGACGAAAAAAGGAATGATTAAGTTTTTGCCGCTAAACAATTCAATGTTTCGTTGACGATTTCAGATCCCAAAACTCGACAAGTGATCGAAAGAAAGTACAAGTCACCTATGGTAAGTATGGGAGAGTGAAATTTGATTCATTTCCGAAGCTTGTATCATGCCATTTGTTGATGTTTCTGAGTTAGAATCATACACAAAGTTCGCAATTTTTACTAGATTGGTTCAAAATTTAATTCCGCACTGAATTTGTGATTGTGAAGTGGGTGGTAAACAGTATTTTCCCTTCGTCATGCAAGACTCTGAACTTGACAAGTTTCGAAAGTACCACAAAAAAATTTGCTCACTTTCCAATTTTATATAGTGTCATCCTCAAAGTATAGGAAACTTATTTTTAAGGGTTTTTCGACAAAAAGTTATTCTTTAAAAAAGTTTGCGCATCTCCTGAAATTAAACATGCACTAACAAAATACAGTAAAACACACGTAAGAAGCCTTCAAATATTTCATTTTGAGACAAGAGTAAAGTACTCTTTTTTTGGAAAATTCCGGGAAATGTTATTTGGAAAAGTTGCTGGGCATTGAAAAATACATCTTGATTTGAAGTCATGGCTCTCTTAGTGGAGTTTTATTTTTTTACCCATTTTTTTAAATGGAGACTACGAAAAAAAATTGTTAAAACAATAAATAGACAGCATCCTGTATACGATGGTTTATTGTAAAAGCCTGTAATATTACGAATTACACAACTATGGTGTTAACCACGGTCAATTTTTTTGAAAAGTAAAACAATTTTCAAAGTGTTTTGTGCAAAGTTATTTTTATTTTTGTTAACACCGAAAATTACTCAAAATTATTAGGTTAGGTTAGTGGTTAACACCATAGTTGTGCAATTCGTGATATTACAAGCTTTTGAAATTAACCATCGTATACAGGATGTTGTCTATTTATCGTTTTAGCACATTTTTTTTTCGACATGGCCACTCAGATGGTCATGACTTCAAATCTAGAGGTATTTTTCAATGCTGAACATTTTTCCTCAGATTTTCCAAAATAAGGGTACTTCACTGCTGACTCAAATTCAAATATTTGAAGGCTCCTCCTATATTACATGTGTTTTACTATATTTTGTTGCTGCATGTTTAGTTTTAGGGAATGCACAATCTTTTATCAAGAATAACTTTTATTCAAAAAACCCTTAATAAATAAGTTTCCCATAAACTTTGGGCATACTTTGGGGATGACACTGAAATCTCTACCGCCACTTTGACTTTTACTTCCATCACAAGGCTAATAAATATTTCGGGAAGAAAATCGAAAGAATCCCCTCAGTAGGCTTTTGAAACAAATTTTCGGTTTCGGTTAATGTTGAATTTCAGGAAAGGAAGGTTTTGGATTTCTACTTTTCCTGAACGTAGGAGTCTTTAAAAAAAGGAGAAAGCCAATAATTTCAAAATAAATACTTTACAAAGATGTGTAGATTACGCAAAGAAGTAACTTTCATACACAAAATGGATGAAAAATATTTTTCAAAACACCTCTTCCGCATGAATATTGAATTACACTTGAATTTCAGTTCGTACTCGAAACATTCGTTATGAAATTGAATCAGATATCACTCACAGGATTGCGACACGATACAGTATACGAAAGAAGTAAAATCTCACTTACATGGAACACTGTCATCCTCAATGGCGAACATCCGACGTTTCTGAATGAGACACTCACTTTATTGCCTCTTCAGCACTAATCTGGATGACATTACAAGATGAAGCTTTCAATTCATTCATAAAATTACGACTTTATGTCTAATGAACCATGTCATCGATGATAAATAATTCATCACGGAATCTGCTCAATCGAAAAGATTATTTTCGAAAGGATATTTTATTCAATGTGATGATTTAACATTATTATTGTTTTTTTTTTAAGATTTACTTGAACAAGGACAAGCGGAGAGAGAGCTGAAAATAAGCCATCGATAAAATTATTCCTTACCATTGAAATCCCCTATACACTGACATGAGTTGAACATATGGAAGAATCAACTCTCCTACATAGATGACGAATGTATTCTCATACATATAGTCAAATATGCAACTATTGAAAATATAAACTGGATGATTTTGCATTGAATTACATGCACCTTTTGTCATTACTATAAAGAAAATAAATTCAGTGTGTTGAGTGAATAATTTTTGCATGACCAATAAATTTGTTATTTCTATAAAATATCACATCACATCACTATTTGCAATTTCATCAATATACTCTTGAGTTCAGGAACATTTTTTTCCACGATAAATTCGATCATCAAACATTTCTATCTCTTCAGTTCATTTTGTTTGATTCGGGTATGATTATCATCATTATTATTGAATTATACTTTCTGTTTTTTTCCTTGCACGTTTACTTATTTTGATTTTCCTTGTAGGCTAACAGGATCATACATTGTTTCCACAGGATACTATCCATTTGCATGGCACAACAATTTGTAGAATATTATCTCATTTCCACTGCATGACAGCTTATTATAGAAGTAAGGATTTTTTCGGCCTTTATCATATATATCCAGCGTATTTTTCAAGTAATGGTAGGAGTGGTTCGAATAGGCAATGAAAACATTGATTTTAAATTTTGTAAAAATGATTTCTCTACTTAATACTAAAAAAAACAACCCAGCAGATTTATCCTTTTCATCAGTCTCGGATCAACAAAATGATACGATTAAACAAGTATGCAGTGCATTTCTTTAATGTCCCCCCTTTTATTTTTTGATCTGGTAAACTCCAAAAATTGAAATTTAGCATAATGAAATTGACAGATGAAACTTTCAAGATGGCGACTGGGCGCCATCTGGGAAAAAATTAAATAGAAAGGAGGGCCGTGTGACACATCATTTTGAAGCTCCATACAAATGCTTCACAACCCTAGAATATAATGTCAATATCTTCAACAACTACAAAATGGCGGAACTTTTAATAATTGCCAGAATATATGACCAAAGGTGTCAAATCTGGCGAGCGGGTTGGTCATTCTGTAGGACCTCGTTGGCCAAGCCAACGACCGGGAAAAGTAGTATCCAAATGTTTCTTACTTGTCTGGAGTATTGTGGTGGTGCTCCATCTTGTTGGAATACAATATCCATATCGAATTCATTAGGATTCGCTTCGACGATTTCAGTGATGAGAGGGTCAACAGTAGTTTCTAGCATATTCAAATACGGTTTCCCTGTTGAATTTTGATCAATAAATAATGGTCCTACAATATGGTTTCCCAGTATTCCTGCCCAAACGGTAATTTTTTCTGGATATTGGGTATGTTTTCCCGGAAAACGTAAGGGTTGGTGTCACTCCAATAACGGCAATTTTGTCTGTGAATATTGCGGTTTGAAAAATTTATATTCGTCACTAAAACAAATATTGTGAAGATAGGTAGGATGCCTTGCAATGGTTTCCGTTATGATTTTGCAGAATTCTATTCTTCGATCTTCAGTTGATTGGTGTACCATTTTGATTTTATATGGATGATACATATTCGTCTCCAAAAGTCTCCACACAGTAGAAGGAGACACCTCACAAACATTCGCGACGGAATAAGTAGAGTGTTCAGGATTTTCTTCTATCCCACCAAAAGCCCACAGACGGATGGTCTGTAGGCTTTTTGTTATGTACACTACCGGTAGTTGTGAATTTGGATACAATTTTCCTGAAATATTTTCTACAGATAGGATGATTCGGAAAATGTTCATTGAAAATCCTTCCGGTCTCGTGAAAGTTACGCGTCGCACCGTAAATAAAAATCGTTTCAATTTTTTTTGAGCATTTCAGAGATTGTTGACGTGGTATCTTTCTACTAGTAGAACCGAAAACTAAATGAGAATATCCTAACTGAACAATGATGTTCATTGTCGTACTGGCATTTTTTGTTGTTTTTATAAATAAAAAATAACTCAACAAACCTTATCGGGTTGCTGGAATTTCCATATGGCAGATAAAAAGGATTATTTCTAGAAATATCGATATCAATGTGTTTTTCTTCAGGGTATTATTAAATGTTTCATCATTTTGTACTAGGTGAAGATAATGACTATTTTATGGTCACTTTCGGTTTTAACACGTGGAAATACATTAAAATCATCTAATTTCAACCCCGAAACAAAAACTTTGTTGTGTTGTGTAATCTGAAGAGCCTGAATTCGGTTAAATAATACGCAATAACATTTTCATATCGATGAAAATAACATATGTTATGCATACGAGTACAAACCTGAGATAAACTCATTGGAATTTAGAAATATCCACAGATACCAATTTAAATTTATAAGGAATTTCATGAGATTTGGCTGAAATAACTTCGAATACCTTTACTACTTCACCTTTACCTTTAGAACGAAATTGTAATCTTTGGGTTTTGGAATATCCTGCAGGTACACTTCCAGGGCGAGTACCTTTGGAACTTCCATTAGATAATGAATCAGACACTGGATACTTGAGTTTTCTCATGTACTGGAAGATTTACAGTACAGAAGTAATTCATAGTTGGGTATTTGAAGAATTCATTTCCGCGGTATTTGAAATATTTCCAATGCCAGTCAGTATTCCACATCTATAGTATGGGAATCATTTCTCTTTGTAAGCACCCAAAGTACTCAGAGTACCCAAAGTACTGTACCTCATGAGTACTAGGTACATTTGACTGTTCAAGTTAGCCAGTATACATACAGTTAATCAATTAAAATATTTTCAAAAATTGAAGTTTACCTCAACTATAAAAACCTTAAAAACCCTTACTTGAAGAATACGCTTCACACACCACTTTTTCCAATATAAAATCTGTTTCAGGCGGAACAAATTTGCTACTCGGTACTCTGCGTGTTCTCCTACATGGCAGCCGGAATCGACAAGAAGAGGTCTTCGAACGTGTCACGTCTACCGATCGCCCCCTGTCTCGCACCTTACACACCCCCTTCCGAGGAACCCCAACCCCTTCCACACGTGCCTGCCATACCTCCGCCTAGCAGTCCGGATCCCGGTTCCATCACTCCAGTGGGAGGTCCACCCAAGTACCCTCCTCCAGCGTTACCTCCCGGTGTGGCTCCTCCAGCGCCACCTCCTGGGGCAAGGACATTTTCGTCACAGATGTCTCTTTCAACACTTCCCTCTAGTCAACCCCCTCCCGTGCCTAGTCGGTCTATCCCAAGGAGACAGATTTCTATGCCTTTGCCCCCCCAAACGCCTCCAAGGCCGAAGTGACGTCATAGGAGGTATTCTTTGAGGTTCGTGTATGGAAGTGACTGTGAAGGTCCTTCGTGTCTTCCTTGGGTGTGAGTTTTTGGGTTGAGGGTCAAGTCTAAGGGGATGGTATGTGTTATTGCCGCGATCAACAATTTTTAATTTTTTTGATACTTCGATGTCATTAAAAAAAGAGGTATTATTCAAATTGGAAGGGTATAACTTTAGGAGATAATTTTTTGGGAAAAGAAAGCTTTTGGCTTACTATTCCTCCATCTCTATGCAAAAAGTGTGATAACTTTGCAAAGGAAGAAAAGAAACATCGGTTTCCGAAAGGTAACTATACAAAAGTGTGTAGATTATGCAAAGAAGTAACTTTTAGACACAAACTGGAAAAAAGTCTTCTTGAAACANAAATACATTTAGATTTGAAGTTACGGCCATCTAAGTAAAGTTTTATTTCTTTACCTATTTTTTAAAATGTGGATTTCACTCAAATTGCTCAAACGATAAATAGACAACATCTTGTATACGACGGTTCATTTTAAAAGCCTGTAATATTACAAATTACAGAACTATGCTGTTAACCACGGTAAATTTTTTTGAAGTTTTTGGTGCAATGTGCAGTAATTACGTGTGTTTCACTGTATGTTTAGTTTTAGAAGATTCACAAACTCTTATCAGAAATAACATTTTGTCGAAGAACCCTTCATAAATAAGTTTCCCATATGGCGCATACTTTGGGGATGACACTGTATATTTACATTTATAAAAATAGAAACACCTTCCAAATTTTCATATCCCCCCCTTTCAACGTAGGTGACTGGTGGTACTTTTGTCAGTAATGTTTAAAAAATATTTTCTCTCTCACCTGCAGAATGACATTGCAGTTAGGTTAGGTTAGAAAATAATTTATATTTAGGACAGAATTAACTAATAAATATTGTGCCTCTATTTTAGTCAACCTCTGTGTAATATTTTTGTAAATATATTCATTTCACGATATCATTGTATAAATTATTCAACCGTTTAGTGAGCAATATTAGACATTTTATTGTTGATTCGTTAGTTAGGATGCTTCTAATGTGTTGAAACGATTTTACATGTTATAATAAAATGATAGATCAATTCTTGTTTTTTTTTTGCCCAAATACTAAATATATTCTTGCAGAGATAATCTATATCTACTGAACCGATGAAAACTATTCTCTCAATCTAGATCTACGAAATTTATACAGTCAGCTATTTTGATTAATCGGTTTTATTTAGCTTGCCCTGTTTGTTTTGAGTCAAATTTCTTAATTGACGTTTGACTTCTTCCTGTTGACAGATTGATCTGATATTTGGTATCAAATGACACGACTTGACTAATACTATAGTAGTACACTGTGAAAAAATGCAAATATAATCTATACAAAGAACTATGTAAACTCAGAATCGGAATATAAGCATGGATCTCCCCTCCAAGCCGAAATTTTGTATCGTGTCGAGGACTCTATGGCTAGAAATGATCCATCGTTAGCGATACACCCCTCAAGTTAAAGTAAAAGATTAAAACGTGCCGAAAACTTTGTGGAAATGTAGTAGATACAAATTAGAAACTAAACACTTGAAAATAAAATAAGTTAAAAAATTATGTCAAATGGTTTTAGTGGAGAGAAAATGATGTAGATAATGTACTAAAAACTAAAAATTATTCGGAAGGTCCTAGGTAGCAGTCGTCACACCACTCTCCTCAGCAATCCACGGTATCGACATATTTTGTAACCTATTGGATGCTCAGGCCAAATAATCGTACTGAAATTTCCATTAAAATATCATTGATCATTTTTTATCTTGTGAGCAAGAATAGAATTCCAGAAGTTGAATATAAAAACTCAATTCCGAAAAAAGGAAGGAAGTCTATCTTGTCTTGTGTTTAAATGTTCAAGAGGTAGAAAAAATGTATGTGATTTTTAACTAGCGTTTCCTAATATGATTGATAACCAGTCCGTGCAAAGCTTATTGCTGAATCATCTGAAAATGGAATTTGTAACAGGTGATGATCAACTGTATTGCCAAACATGTGCCAAACTGATTGACTATTATAAGAAAACAAGTATAGCAGAGGCACCAGTCAATCTAATAATGACACTGATAATCTTCAAACAAGACTCAACCTCTGACGGAAGCAATTAGTATCGATATGCATGTTTCGTAAAAAACACTAAAAATAAGAAACAGGTGCAATTAGCTTGTCTTCCTCCAACCTCAGTTGCTGCTCATCAACATCTTTTCCGGGTATATTAACAAGTTCAAGTGTGGCTTGGTTATCAGCTAGACCCAAAAAAATGGGGTTGGAAGTTGGTCGACAATGCATTAGAACCTATACAGACTTTACTCCCACCTGCGCCGGAAAAACTGCTGGACACAATTTTTGCAAATGTAAAAAGGGATGCAGCGCTGAATGTGGTTGTAAAAAGTTGGCCTACTGGGGAAATCACGTTAAAAAACGCGCTAAGTACACTACCTCATAGGTGGTGTGGAAACGTGTACATATAATGACGATTACAACTTTTACAACTTTTGACTCGTGTATCTCAGAAATGATGGCGCTAAGAAAAAAAAGTATTGAAACACTTTTTGTAGAGAATTTTATAGTCTACAATTTTTATTTGTGGTTATTTTATGATAAAACTCACAGTTTTCCTGAAAATCGCGAAAAACCAAATTTTTTCGAAATTTTTCACCTTTGATCTTGAATAAATTTTTTTCCAGGCATCGCAATCATTCGAAATTTCAGAATCCTATTTTCAACTATGTTTTGAACAATTACACACGTTTGCAGCTTGTTGTAAATTTATGTACCCTCCAATGTCTAGATTGTGTCGAAGTATTGAATTTATTGGAGCCTCTGCAGACACCCTACATTTTGTTTTATGAGAGAGAGGACATTGGCAGATCAAGATCTTCAGATGATGTGGTGTTGCAGGTTTTTCCGGGTTTTCCTGCAGCTAAAAAAGCAAATGCGCCACTGGAATCAATGAAGTTGCCCCGGAGCACCAATTAATTTTTATTGTTGTTGTCTTACAATTGAAAATTGATTATTGTTGAAAACATTTTTTAAAAATTGACGCATTGTTGTTGATAATGTCATGATTTTCAGATTTTTAGATATCTGTAGGGTTCAAGAACTGACCATAATGAAGACCACTAATTACGCTTTCCCGTGACAATACCGAAAAACTACCATATTACATTTGCAATACCAGCCTACCAGGATATATTTGCCATAATTCTGATTTAGAATATTAACTGAATTTTAGACTGACTAAATATAATTTCGCTAGTTTGGGTATTATTGGTTTACAAGCATTGTGGTCTGATGGACTTATGTTTTCGTTATTTAAGTCATCAGATGGAAGTTATTATTCGCTATATCAGCTCCAGATACTGTGACAACTATCACTGGCACGGGGTTGAAATTCACACGTTTTCTTTTCCATAATAATTGTTATAGTTTCTCTTTGAATGATGTATCATATCGACGTGAAATTTCAAATGGAACTAATCTTTTTAAGACATATCGCTATCAACAACGGTTACGAGGTGGACATTATTGACTCAATTCTTTCTTAAAACTTGCAGAAACAAGCTCTGAACCAGGTCTATGTAGTTTCAAATAATCATAATGAACATTATGTAACAACTTACTTTTGGTGATCCTACTAATAATACCGCTTGTTTTTTGAAAAACGAAGAATTTGACGTAGGCTACAGAACAAATAATAATTTTAGTGGATTCATCAAAAACAAAGAAAATAGTAAACTCAAGTGCCAGATCGATCGAGAGTATACAAGATTTTATATCCGACAAACCGGAAGAACTTTATCCGAAACAATAAAAGACAAGTGGTTTTCGACCAATTCAACATATACGCAGCATCTTTCCCACCTGTCATACAAGTCATGGGTTTTTCTTCTTTTTGAAATATTGCTCGCGTTCGTGACAAAAAGGGCTCAGAATAATCTTCCTGATTACTGTTGACCCATCGCTTTGCTGTCAGCCAAATCATATATCATTGAGGCAGGCCGTAAACCACTATGTCGTTAAACATTTTGAGCTATCATCAATTTGGTTTACAGAAACAGATATCAATAGTCAACCTTCTGTCATATGTCACCCATATTTGGAATAACACAATCGAGAAATATGGAGAGTCAAGAGCTGTCGCGCTTGATATTTCTAAGGCCTTTAACCATGTGTGGCATGGGTGTTTCCTGGCCAAACTTCGATGCCATGGCTTGTGCGATCATTTTTGTGTATGGCTCTCCAGCTTCCTGAAAGAACGTTTCTTGCGAATGGTCGTCGATGGAAATCTGTCGACAACTTTTGTCATCAATGCTGATGTTTCCCAGGTATTCATATTATCTGCAACCCTCTTTTCATTGTAGGTATATCAACAACTCTTTGGAAAAAACGAAGAAACCAACATATTGCTTTGCTGACGACATCACACTTGTCTCGTCATTCTATTAGGATTCCAGGACATCGGCTGCAGATCCACATCTTCCCGGCAGCAGGAGGTTTCATATCTTAATGAGTATCTAGTAGTGATTTGGAATTGGGGTGAAAGTAGCCAGTTCCAATTAAATGCCACAAAATCCCAGGCATCGGTTTTCTCTGAAAAAATAAGTGTCTCCGAACCTGATATAATAATGTCAGGACAGACAATTCTGCTTTCTTCAATAAGTTTGTTGGGGTTTGAAATGGACATCAATATGTCTCGGCACAATCATGTCGCTGGAATTGGAATACAAACTTTATGGAAATACTGGATCTTAAGCAAATCAACAGTATAAATAACAGTAACAATGGATTTCTAGATTTGGTATTAACAAATAATAAATGTGAACTTGAACGAAATCTCGCACCTCTTGTTGAAGATCGTCACCAACCTTCATTGCAGCTTAAATTTTCTATATCAGTTTCCAAAACTCTTAATCTTGGTCGTAATTCCAGTAAACGTACATACAAATTTAGGAAAGCTAATTACCCATCATGAAATAACGTGTTGGAGTGTACCGATGTCAATAGCACTGTTAACCAGTCAGAAAGGAACCTAATTAGTATTTTTGAAACATCTGTCCCTTATAAAATATTCAATTGACGTAGCTATCCACTATGGTTTATAAATGATACGATAAAGCAAATAAAATGCAACGAATGTTCTCGTAAAAACTACAGAAAACATAAAACAAGTTTTTATCTATATCAATTTAATTATTTAAGATCCGAGGTGAAAAAAAGTGGGCACAACTATCTTAAATTTATCTTAGAGGCTGAAAATTAAATAAGTAACGATCCGAATCAGTTTTGGAATTGTATACGTAATAGAAAGGGAACCAGCAGAATCCCTGGCGTAAT